GTACAGCCATTAACCCATTGATTTCACTCATTAAAAAACAATAAATCTAATTCAAGTATGTATATCTATATTGATTATTAATAAAAAAAATTTTAATTAAATAAATTATAAAATCTATTGGATAAAAATATATTCATATGATTTTCATTTGCTCAAATTTTTTAATGACCTATCCAATCCAATATAACTTAGGTCATATTATTCCATCATCGTCTTTTCCTATAGCAAAAAAAAAGAAATTCGTTGATCAATATGTAAAAACAATTATTTCTTATGGCTTCATCTCCGGGTTTAAATTTTCTTATTGCTAAATATCTTCGTGAATTACCAAATTCAAATCTTGCAAATGTAAGAATATTTTTTTTCCCTAAACTATGCATCTATTTCAATATTTTAGGAATTTATCCAAACACTCGAGACAAATAATGTAGGTTAAGAAATCGAATTCTAATAACAATAGAAATGAATTTATCTTTAGCTTTTACCATCTACACGTAATTGGAATGGTGTTGAACGTCAAATATCCTTTCAAGAATTAGTATATAAATCATAATTTAATTGTTCTTTATTATAATTTTTGAAATTTCTAGGAACAACAATATTCTCATGTTCCTAATAATCATCTACCTCATCTATTAGACAATGTTATGTCTTATGTTGAACAAGGTATTGGTAAACGTTTTGGTTCCTTAACAACATTTCTTCTACAATTGGATCCAACATGTTTTCTTGAAAATAAACAAAAAACATCATTCAGTATGTATTGAACGAAAAATAAAATAAAATTTATAAAAACATATTTTAGGTAGAAAATATAATATGTTTAAAACAGCATATCATCCATGTAAATATCTATCAAATCCAACAAATCGTAATATGCGTAAGGATAAATTTTACTATTTTATATATTTTATTATTGAAAAATTAAATAGAAATAATTTTACGTGAACGAGAATATTTCGGTCGAACATTATCAGTTAAACAATTACCATCAAGTGATTTATATCAACGAATGAATATGAGATTAAAAGTTATTGCACATAAAGCATCTATCTATTGTATTGCTTTTGATCGTACAGGAACTTATGCATTATCAGTAAGATTATTTTTTTAAATTGAAGAAAAACATATTTCTTTTTTTATGAATAAAGGGTGCTGATGATTTTCTTCTTAAAATGTGGCATGTACATACAGGACGTTTAATGGCAACATTTCGTGGTCATTCAAAAGAAATTTGTGATATTGATGTTAATTTTGAAAATACACTTGTTGCTAGTGCAAGTCTTGATAAAAAAGTACGAGTTTGGAATTTAAAAACAACTAAAATGGAATGTGTTTTACATGGACATCAAAGTGGAATTAATGCAACAAAAGTATAAATTCTAATCGAATATATATATATCGTATGAAAAACGTTTTTTTCTAGTTTTCACCATTTTGTAAAACCGATGATCGTTGGTTGGCATCAGTTGGAAGTGAAGGAAGTATTTGTTTTTGGAAATATCAAATTGGAACAACGGAATTTGAGTAAGAGAACATTTTTAGTTTACAAGATTTATTATATTGATATTAATTTTTAGACCTCGACCGATTAAATTCGTTGAAAAAAGTCGTGCCGGTGCACAAATGCTTTGTTTATCATTTAGTCCAGGTGGTTATTTTGTCGCTGCTGGTAGTAGTGATTCAGTTATTCGAGTTTATTCATTTCATACATATTCACCCTTAAAAATCTGTGAACTTGATCGACATACAGTAAATTAAATTTTTCTATGAGAAAATTTTTAATCGAAATTCTATTTATAGAACGTTGTTGAAACATTATGTTATGCACATTTAAGTAATTCATTTATATCTGGGAGTAAAGATGGAACAGCTCGTATATGGCGATATGAACAACAATCTTGGAGAGCGATTGTTCTTAATTATTCTAATGATTCAGATAAAAAGTAAGTCAAAGTTCTCTATTGCAACATATTCAGTTATGTCTTAAGAGAATAATAGAGTTGACAGTTTCTAATCAAAGAATAATATATGCAGTTTCAACGCATGTATCTATTACTCTAAGGATAAGGAAAAATATTTTGTTTAGTAATAATGACTCGAATAATCATGTGACAACTGTAAACAACAAAGTAATTCCTGTAACAATTGTTTCTTGGTCATGTACTGATCGAAGTGTTGCCACTGCCTATGAAAATGGTTTAATTAAAATTTGGGAACCGAATCATGGAACATTATTGAATGAACTTAAAGTAATATCGAATGTTAATTTTATTTTTTTTTTCTATTGAAATATTATTTTTAGAAACATGAAAAAACAGTTTTTGTACTTGAATGTCATCCAACAAATGATCGTTTATTATGTTCAGCTGGACATGATGGTCTTTTAGTTATTTGGGATATGGTTGATGGTCGAGTAATAAAATGTTTTCTCAATGATGTAAATATATATCACTTTTATTTTGTTTTATATTGAAATTTTCTTTCCTTTTTTCCTCAATAAAGCAATATATCGATATTCCAAATTCAATACCATATTCTGAAGCAAAATGGTCTCCAACGTATGATGTTATATGTACAACTGATCTCTGTGGTCAAATATGTTTCTTTGGTCTTGGTAGTGATACAAGATATAATAAGACACAAATTGAACAATTTTTTCATAATGATCTACGTCCAGTAATTCGTGATAGTAATGATAACGTTCTCGATGAACAACAACAAATCCCACCACATCTATTGCCACCACCATATCTTATTGATGATCATGGTCATGCTTATTCATATGAAATACAAAGATCTGTACCAGGAAGAGAAAATTATTCACAAAATGATAATACAGCTACAGTTGTTAATCATGAATATTTAGAAGGTAAGCAATATGAGTTTTCATAGGACAAAAAAAAATTTTTTTTTCTATTAGATCTTATCATTGCTGAACCAGTGACAACTCCGGCAATGACTAGTGTATATATGTCAAGAAAATTTGGTAAATACGAAAAAGAAATTTTTAATTTAACAATATTTAATTCGAAATTTAGAAACAATTGATTTATCAACATTTGGTTTAAATATCGATAAAAAACAAACATTTGTATATCATAGAGATTTTATACCACAATTAAATGAAGCTGAATTAGAGTAAAAACATATATTTATTCTATTCAATTACACTATCAAAATAATTTCTTTTAGACATAGTGAAATTTTTCGTGATGCTAGATATGATGATGAACGACTTGGTTATGAACGGGAATATTTGAAAAAAGCCAATCATGGAGATTCGGTAAGATATATCTCTTTACAAATGAATTCTTATTCTAAAAACGAAAGAAAAATAATAACAAATTTAGAGAATTTTCAAAGAGATTATTTAAATACCGTTATTTAATTTACAGAAAAACATTTTGATTGACTTCTCCTAACGACTTTTTTTGTAGTACGAATCATCACCAGTGAAAAAACGTACAACACGTAATGTGATTAAAATGCGTCAAGAAGAACTTCTTCGAAAAGTTCCACATAATATGGAAGTTGCAATTAATCGTTTAACAACACGAGCTTTATATGATTCTGATAAAGAAGATAAAACAGATCTATCCGATGATCAATATTCACCAAATGCAACGGCGCCATTTGGTGATAGTGAAATGAGTGGTGGTGGTGATGATGATAGTGTATCAACCGATGAAGATCTTGTTGCAACAACATCACGAACAACAGGTATAATGACACGTACAGGTCAACAAAGACGTGTACAGCGACATAGAAATTTATCACCTGATGAAGATGATGACGATGATGATGAAAATAAACATGAACATGAATATCGTCAAGTTCAATTAGCTAAAACTCAACATCGTCGACGAAATAAATTAAAACGTTTGAAAAAACGACGTGAACAAGTTAAAACTAAAAAAGAAGAATTTGAAAATAAACATGAACTTGAATTAAATTATTCAACTGATTTTAAACCACCTGAATGGTTAACACGTACAACGGCACAATGTTCACCATATATACCACAAATTGGTGATATGGTTATGTATTTTGTTCAAGGACATGAATTGTATATTAATGAAGTTAAAGATAAAAAAATGTATGAAATTGATGAAAAAACTTTACCATGGAATAAAAATGAACCACTTGATGTAAGTATAAATCTATAGTACACGACAAAAACAAAATATTGTGTTGTTTTGATAGGCTGTTGAATGTGCTACTGTAATTGGTGTTTCTGTAAGTTTTTCTGATAAACAACCACCACGTGTTATTAATGTTCGATTACAATTATTAAATCCTGATACACTGGAAGCGACATCAAGAAGAATAAGTGTGAAGTAAGCAATTAATAGAATGTTTGAGAACTATAAATAAGCAAAACAAACTTTTTGAAATCTAAATAGATTTCATGATGTTGATGGTATTGCTGATTTTATTATTCTAAAACAATATTATGATCAAGCTATAAAACGAGAGTGGACTACTGGTATTTAAATAATATTAAATCTTAAAGACAAATAATTCTATTCATCTTTTATTATTATTAGGTGATCATTTTCGATGTTTTATTGATGATACTTGGTGGCCAGGAACGATTGTAAAACGAGAAGCATTTGATCCTCTTCATGAAAATAGTCCTTTTCAATGTTATATTATTCGCTGGGATAATGGTGAAAACGAAGAAAGACTTAGCCCATGGGATATTTTCGAATGTGATGATTCATGTATGAATATATATATATTTAATCAAATATACGACTGAATTTTCTTTTTACATTCAGCTGACGAATCTAATCTAGTAAAACTGCCATCATATCAACCAACACCCGATGAATGGCCTGGAGATGATGTTGATGATGAACGTGAACGTTTGTTAAAAGGAATTGATACACTTATACAAATGGATGTAGCAAAACAATTTCGAGAACCTGGTAAATATATATACACCCTAAATATGAATAAAGAAATTTTTTTTCTTAGTTCAACTTGCATGGTATCCAGTTGTTATTGCTTATCCAATTGATCTCGGTACTATTCGAGAACGTCTTTCTAATGGTTATTATCGTCGATCAAATGCTCTTAAATGGGATGTAAAAAAAATGGAAGAAAATGCGAAAAATTTCAATGAAAAAGGAAGTCAAATTATTGAACAAGTTAAAATGGTTACAAAGATTTTACTTAAATATATCGAGTAAAATATCTTAATTTCTTCTTTTAAAATATTAAAACATTGTTTTTCTTCAGTGATTATAATTGTGACGATATCGATGTTATTTATCAACGATCATTACATTCAGAACAAGTTCCATTACCAATTTCATCATCATCATGGGTTTGAATTTTAATTTGAAATATAAAAAAACGATTCAATTATTTTTGTTCTAGAATGAAGAATGGCTGGATGATTATCAAACAATACTAAATGATATATTATCTCAACCTGGAAGTGAATTATTACGTTATCCAATCGATGAAAATGAATATCCAGTATGTAAAGAATATTTTCATTTTAAAATTATTTGAAATTATTTAGGATTATGAACGAATAATAAAAACACCAATTTGTTTCGATGATGTACAAGCCAAACTTAATCAAACACCTTGTGGTTATCGACATTCAAGAGAATTTATTGCTGATTGCCATTTAATATTTCAAAATGCTATCACTTATGCTGATCCAGAAGTAAAATAAAAACAAAATAAATTGAAATATATTCTCGTCTTTTTTTTCCTGAATAGATGATTGAAGTTGTTAAACAATTAGGACCATGGTTTGATCGACGTGTTGCAATATTTGATCGTCGACAACGTCGATCAAATAATCAATATACTTCAGAAATGACAACTCGACGAAGGTATTTTATTGAATAATTTAGAAAATTATTAGATTATTATTGTCTTTTCGTTTACAGAGAGTTACAAAATTCTTCAGCAGATGAAAATAATATTTATACAACTGAAGATGCACCTGCACCTGCAACAACAAGTTCAAGTAGTCGGCAAAATCGACGAACACAATGTAATTTGAATAATTTTCTATTTATTTTTTAAATATGAAATTTTTTTGTATTTTTAGTTTCTCCTACAACTCTAACAACTGATCGTCGTCATTCACATTTTAATCGTATATCAACTGTAAATAATCAATCAAGAACAACACAAGAACAGAATTCTGATGAAGATGATGATGATAATGAATCTGTATCAACACAAAGTACTCAAGCTGTATCATTAACATCATTTATTCATACAACAACAACTACTACGACAAATGATATGAATTTATCTTTACGTCAAACACGACAACGTATGCATACGAATGAAAATACGAATAATACAACATGGTCAACACGTACACGATATAGTACAAGATCAACAGCATCAAATAGAAATTTAAATGAAAATTCTAATGATCGTCAACAACAACAAAGTTCGTCAGCACGAACTCTATCACCATCGGATGATGACGATGATGATGATAATGATATATCATCGAATAGTAAAAGAAATCGTATGGAACGTAGTGATAGACGAATATCATCAGTGAATAGACCAAATTATAAAATTGATAGTGATGAACATGAAGATGAAGATGATGATGATGAAGAAGACGATGATAATCAACAGAAAACCAATACAACAGTAGATCATCAAGAAGATATGGAACAAACAGAAAAGGATGATAATAAAGCCACAGGTACAAAAAAAAGTTATAATACATTTTTACAATAAACTAATTTTTTTTTCTGTTTAGATAAAGTTGATGATGAAGATTATGAGCCATCAGCAGCACTTGAAGAAGATGAAGAAGAAGAAGAAGAAGATGAGGATAATGATGTAGTATCTGCTCGTAAAAAAGATGATGATGATGATTCCGATTCGGATTTTCAATTGGATGGACCAAGTCAACATCGTCGTACAAATACAAATGGTAATCGAGTGCGTAAATTACGTAGTACAACCAATCGTCCATCACCACCATTACCAAATCAAAATAATAAACGAAAACGTTCAACTGTTCGTACACGTTCATCAACAGAATCTGATACAACTGACTCACATGCAAATCAAACATATAAAACTCGTACTCGTTCACGACGACGTATAACAGGAAATAAAAAACCTTCGTTACAAGAAGATTTTACTGATGATGATGATGATGAAGATCAAGATGAAGAAGAAGATGAAAATCGTCGACGTCCACGAACTACTCAAGCAACACGAGTATCAAAACGTGGTCGAGTACTTAAACAACGTTTATTAAGCGAATAAATAAACGAAATTCTAATAGATCAAATCAATTGTTCAGATCTAGTCTTCTCAAATTTTTCTTTGTTTTTTCTTATTGTGATTAACATTGTTGAAGAAAAAGCAAGAAATAAGAAAAAAAAAACAGTGACTATTAAATGTGTACTATCATTTTGATAGATTTTCTTCTCTTTTTGTTTGTTGTACAGACACACTAATGTTCTTATTTTGTTGTTGTTGTTGTTGTTTGTGTGATTGACAATCTGTTCATTTTCTTTCTCTAGCGTTTGAGGAAAATAAAAATATATACATTGTGTGCTTATTTATTAAAATTTTTATTCATTTAAAAAAAATCGAAAAGAAAAAAAGAAAGACAAGTAATTTAACCATCATCTAATGTAAATTGAAACATTTGTATACCATCATAAGACGTAAAATTTGTTTTTTCGTTTTTATTTGATGATTGTACTTTATTAGTCATTGGTACTAAATAATCTCCATCGTCACTTGATTTCGATGAACCTATATATCACGACAAAAACAAAATATTAAATGAATATCTTATTTCAAATACATACGATTTGATTTTTGTGGTGGTGGTACAACAGCAAGTGTTTGACGCGTTTTTTTTGTCTTTTTTGTTATAGTTTCTGTATTGATAACAGCCACTTTAGCAATACCATCACCAGTATTGAAATCAATTTTTTGACCTGTTTCTTTTGAGAAAAATGCAAATTCCTCATATTTTCTTGGTGAAGCAGATTTTGGACTAGATATATCCGAAGAATTTTGAGACATTGGAACTTCTTTATTAAATAAAGCCATGTGTTTTTCTGGTGAATCAGATTTTAGAATAAATGTCTCGGATGAATATTGTGGTTTAAGAATTTCTTTATTATACATAGGCATTTGTTGTTTAGGTGAATCAGATTTTTGTATAAATGTATCTGTTGAACGTTGTGATTTAAGAATTTCTTTTGCAAGTAAAGCCATTTGTTGTTTTGGATCAGATGATCCAACATTAATTATTGGTGTTGATGTACATACAGGAACTGTATTTGTTCGACGAATTGGAGAAGGACTTTGTCGAGAACAATTGACATAGATTCGAGTTATGTGAACGCCAGTTGGATCACACATGTTGTTAAATGTAGAAGAAGACGATGGAGAATAAATACGACGCTTGATTTATTTTAGTTATATAGTTATATAAGAATAGAATATATATATCCAGGGATGAGAAGAGAGCGATTGGATAGTTCGAAGTATATAAAGAGAAGAAAAAAGCTGTCATGTGAATAACTTATTTTCTTTAGATTTATAGTAACAAATTCAAATTGTGAGTCATATATCTGTGAAACAAAGATTTATTTTAATCGAGATTATTTCCACATTCGACAACATTTTTGAAGATTGAAAATTTATTTAGAATAAAATCTTTGACTGTATGGAAATTTCTGTTTTATGAAATATTGTCAGAAAGAGAGATTTACTTTCCCTTGGCCATTGATAATAGAAGTTAGATTATACTAACACTTTTTATAAATATTTAATGACTGATTTTATTTTTATTGAATGAAAAATAGTTATGATGACTAAAAGCAGTCTTGCCTCATACTGTCATTATGTGTTGTAATATTACCTGTATGAGTCATCTATTGCTTTCTACGTGTTATTATACTATTTTTAGTGGGTAGAAAACAAAACGCAACGCATTTGATTTTTTAGATCAGTAAAATTACAATGGCTTCAGCTACATCTCGTACTATATTTCCTATGTTTTTTGGTCGTCGTCATCCGGATAAATTAAGTGATGGAGCATCAACACCTCTTAAACTTATTCGTTTACAAATTGAACAAAAGGTCAATGGAAATTTTCCACTTATTCATCAAATAGCTACAACAATGACATTTAAAAATACGCATAATATTATTCTTGAAGGTGCTTTTGAATTTACATTACCCGAAAAGGCAACGATTTGCGGTTATGGTAAACTCTTATTTTATTTTTTTATTTCTTTCATTTTATTCGTATCGTTTTTAGGCCTTGATGTAGATGGTGTTATTGTTGATGGTGTCGTTGTTGAAAAACAAACTGCTCGTATAATATTTGAAAAAGAAGTTCGAAAACGAATTGATCCTGGTTTTGTTGAATTAGTTACTGGCAATATATTTCGTACTCGAGTTTATCCTATTGAACCACAAAAAACTCGTACTGTTCGTGTTATATATCAAGATCAAGCTATAGCGAATAATAATGACTTATTATATCAAATACCAATTCAATTTCAAACACAACTTGAAAGTCTCGATATCGTTCTTACATGTTTTGATCAAGCAACAACCGCAAAACCGAATTTCGTAATAAATTCTAATCAAATAAATTCAAATGTTCCACAATTTATTAGTAAAGAAAATGGACAGTATACAGCCGAATGGCATTTAAGTAATGTTCAACCATCTATCAATGGTGATCAAACACTTTCATATATTATACCAAATTCTCTTAAACCAATTGTAAGTGCTGTGGAAAAAGATCCAACTATTGGTGCATATTTTACTATTAGTTGTGCTTTACCCGTACCAACTGAACGTCGAATTGATCAACTTGTTATACCATCAAAAACAATCTGTATTTTATGGGATGCAAGTTTAAGTCGTTCAGATGCTCGAGATAAACGATTAGTAGAATTAAATGCATTAAAACAAATTTTCGATATATGGTTAACTCGTATGAAACAAATTGAAATAATTCTTATTATATTTCGAAATGATATGGAAGAACAAAAATTATTTTATCTTCAATCTGATAATTGGAATGTTTTAATGAAAATTTTCGAAGATTTACCATATGATGGTGCAACAAATTTATCACAATTATCATCGATTAATACTCCACGAACAACTGATTATTATTTTCTTGTTAGTGATTGTATATCAACAATAAATAATGATTCAATGATAGAAAATTTTTATTCGAATTTTAAAGCACCAGTATGGATTTTTAATGGGAATCATTTACATGAACCCTATGATATGGATTTTATTAATTATTTAACTCAATATAATTCATATGGTGGTGGTTATTTAAATCGTGAAAAATTAGAATTGAATTCAAATGATTTAATAAATCTTATTGAAACTATTCAAATAAAATATATTAAACTTCATTCAAATTCAACTGTACAACAAATATATCCAAGTAATTCAATATCGATTCCATTAAATTCAGAACGATTTCTACTTGTTGGACAAATTCCAAATCCATTACCGAATTCAATTCAATTAGAATTAGAATTTTCATTGAATACTCAAAATTCTCGTGTATCAATTACACTTGATATACCATCAAATGAATCCAATCATTTTGGTTTAATTCGTCGATTATGGGCACAACAAAAATTAAATGAATTAAATGCATTTAAAGATAAATATAAATCAGATATATTATCACTTGGATTAGAATATTCATTAGTCAGTCAATTTACATCATTATTAGTACTTGAATCACTTCAACAACATCTTCAATATCATATATGTCCAGCTAAAACACGTTTAGCCTTATATAATCAATATATGCAATATAAAACTAAAGAAAACGATCAAAAAACAAATAATTTATCACAATTATTAAAACAATGGAATGAAAAATGTCAATGGTATGATCGCATTATTACTGATATTGATCGTCATCGAGCTTATTTACCAAGAAATACTGTTACATCACACCCACACTCTCAACTATTTGGATTCGGTCCACCAACTACTTCACCAACTAGATTCGGTGCAGCAACTACTTCACCGGCTCCCGTAGGGGGATTTACATTCGGTGCAACGCCTCCTGCTATGAATTCTACTACATTTTCTTCAACTATATTTGGTCCTTCTTCACAACAACAGCAAATATCTACTTCAACAAATGTCTCAAAAGAGTCATCATTATCTACAACAGAAGAATCTTCAACAATTCATATCAATGAATATAATCCACAATCGTCATATATAACACGATTATCATCTTCAAGTGATAGAAATAGTGCTTATGCAATTTATCTCGATGAACGAACATTAAACCGACAATCAACTTCATTTTATTTTGATATTGCATCTTATTTTTTCTCAACAAAATCTTTTTCATCGATATTAAATCAATTTAATCAAAAACAAGAAATTATCCAAACTACCGATCATAAATCAATTGAATATGGTTTACGTATATTAACAAATATTTTAGAATTAGAATTAGAATCACCGCAATTATATCGAACAGTTGCATATAAATTAATGGAATTAAAACAATGGAATTTAGCTTTGAGTATATGTCGAAAAATATATTTATTACGTTCTGATGAACCACAATCATTACGTGATTTAGCTCTTGTTCTTATTGAACTTGGTGAATATAATCAAGCATTAGAATACTTGAAACAAATTCTTATACAAATATGGGATGAAAGATTTCAAGCAATTCAAATAATTGTTTTATTAGATTTAAATCGATTATTAATTCTAATGAATCAAGCAACACCGGTTATTGATTTTCGTTTTATACGTCATTTACCTGTTGATATTCGAATTGTTATTCAATGGGATACACCAGATACATTAATTAGTCTTTCAATTAAAGAACCAACTGGTCAAGTATGTAGTAATCATTCCGGATCACTTCAAACAGATATTGGTGGATATATAACAAGAATATCATTTCAAAATCCATATCCAGTTGAATATTTACTTCGTCAAGCAATTGATGGAATATATTCAATTAGTTTATCTTATATACGTAATGCTCAACATACACTTACAGGTGTTACAACAGTTTTAGTTTATATTTATAAATATTTTGGTTCAATTAATGAAGAAAAACAAATTCAAACAGTACGATTAACTGATTGTAATCAAACAGTTGATGTCGGTCAAATTGAATTTGGTAAGTCGGATTTAGCAAAACTTAAAGATGAATTACAAAAAACAAAAGATGAATGTCATCGTCTACAAAATCAATTAATGATTAACAAATTACAGCCTATACAATCGTCTATTCAACATTTGAATGTGACATGTGATGGATGTTTTACAACACCTATAATAGGTGATAGATATAAATGTCTATTTTGTCCTAATATAGATTTCTGTCAAAATTGTAAATCATTAACTAACCTTCAACATGATTCAAATCATCCATTATTATGTATGCATGACTCAACTTTGTTTGCATCATCAATCTTCCTTCAAAACATTAGTGAAATATCACACACGAACGCGCAATGTACATCGTGCACTATGTTACCTATCATTGGTATACGTTATTATTGCGTGACATGTAAAATCAATTTATGTGAAAAATGTGAATTTCTTGGTTTACATGACATTTCACATCAACGTTTAAAAATCATTTATCCACAATAGATGAAATCGTTTTCTTTTTCTTTCTATATATTTTTATTGGTGTTGATCGATTTTACTGATATATTCTAATAAAAATCATATAAAAAGTAAACATATATTAATGAGAAAAGGTTACTAATTGATTCAAATCATATTGAATGTTATTTTATTCATGTAAGTACGAAATTTTCCGAAGAAAATCTGAAAAAAAAGAATGAGCTTTATTCC